CTACTACTCTCTCTCTCTCTCTCTCTCTCTCTCTCTCGCTCTCTCTCTCTCTCTCTCTCTCAAGTTGACATTTCCTTTAAAATTTAAGAAATCTTTCTCTAAGTATAACAAATTTTATAAATCCACATATTTACTGTCCCTCTGAAAATTTTTTGTAAAATATTACAATCTACACTCCATCAAATCAAGAAAGAGAGAAAATAGGATCAAGGAGCTGGGCCCATATAAAAATAGAAACAAAAAAAACAATCTTAACCAACGATCAACAAACCCAAGAGGGCAAGAGAAAACACATCATAAACCATCTGACATCAACATTATGAGGATTGCTGCCAAAGCTAGAACTACAAACCCTCTTGGGAGGCAGTACACCATTAGAAGCCTCTAGACCTCTCATATGGACCATTTACAAAGTCTTCTCATTGGTTGTGGCCTTCATGATGTCAACCTCGTCTCTCAATCTACATGCCTCCAATAAATCGCTCACTAACTGACTCCTCGGCCCTCTATGACAACTACCATCACAAGGCCTTAGCGAGAAGGTTTGCATCTTTGAAGCGATCCTTGCGCAAGGGGTTTGGTTCGTGGTTGGTGATATAAAAGAAAAACCCCAGTGTTGCACTTTACTATGCAACCTTCTTTTTCTGGGCTTTCGACATGTAAAAGTACTTGCGGTCTTGAAGATCCATCTCTTGGCAGTGTCTTTGACCGCCTATACAAGTAGCGGATCATGCAGCCGCTCATATCCACCTGTCAAAGGTTCTTAAAAGAGGTAGGTGCCCTACCGAGTGGACCCCTTGCATCGCGGTTAAGGTAAACAGCAATATCATCGCATAAAGTGGCAGCCATGTTACTAATACAGCTGCAACAAAGCAAAACAATAGGTTTACCAAACTTCAGTTGTGGGCCTGCAGAGAGTTAGCAAGTCTGAGCTCTTGGTAGCAAAAAATCAAAGTCTTCAAATGTCCTGGGCCAAGGTTTCAGTGGTATTTGCATCGAGATTCTGAAGTAGATTCTAGTAAAAAGGAATTTAGTAATTTGTATAAAGGATTATGTTCCCTACAATCATGTATCACCTATAGGTTTCTTTCAATCTGACCACAAACGTCACATTTTGGTTTGTGTCGCATGTGGACACATGTCAACACTTTGAAACATGTCGACACTTGAAGACACCTTGCTATATAAAAAGCAACAAAATATAGTAGCGATGCTCAATGCAATGTTCAAACTAAAGCCATTTTGGCATATTGTCATCTATTTTACCACTTCCTCATCCATTTTTTAAACGGAATAAAAAGACATTACATTTATACCATAAAAAATATAATATTTTACTTATAAATAATAACCATACAAACGTGTCTAGCCATATCAACTTTTAGACCAAAGTGTTGGACACCTTCGACACTTTTAGACACCGACATAAGTATTAGTGTCATGTAACAATACTTTCAATACGAGCTTTTGCATGCAATGCTACATGGACACCAACATGAATGTCATTGAGTACATGTCAAAGGTGTTTAGTACCTTGGCCTAAAAAATCAATAAAGCTAGACACATTCGTATAAATATTATTCATAAATAAAATAATATATTTATTAGTATATATAATGCAATTTCCTTTTCAATGCCATATATGCAGTGGATGGGGAGGTGGTAGAGTAACGACCATAAGCCAAAAGGGTTTGAGTTCAAACCCTACCATGTGCCCCTCCACCATTTTAAATGTTTTTTGTATACTAGGTGTCCTCAAGTATCTACATGTGTTGAAGTATCGACACATGTCAACACACGACACCAGCTAAGGGGTGAAGTATTGTAGTAATTGTCTATAGGTGCAAGATCAAGGTTGTGTACTGCATTGTGCAAAGGTTACCATAGTAATTTGAGTGACATCCTCTACAAGCCAGATCACTTGTGATACATGAAACATTGTATAAGAAGTATTTAAAGTGGGGGATCCCTAAATAAAAAAATACAGGAAACACTTTGTATATGCCTTGGAACTGCCACAAACAAAACTCCATCTTCGTCATGTACTACACTAGGCCCTCTATGGATTGTGACCTATTATTTCACTTTTTTTACAATTGTATAAGCCATATCCTGCAAGTAAATTGACTGCCCCATCAAGTGGTGTGATGGTTGTTTTGCTAAGGCCAGTGCAAGAGGTCCACTCAACCAGGCACCCAATTCTTACAAAATACTATTGAAGGAGGAGGAGCAACGTCTAGGTAATCTGCTGCTTGTGCATGTCGTTACCGAGTTCAGCACCACCAAAGAGATGGATATGGAAGACCACAACACTCATTGCGGTCATGCATTTGCTGGTTGTATGGCCCCTAGAAAGAAGGTTGCAAACAAAGTGAACATATGAGGCCTCCTTTTGTATCACCTATCACATCACAAACCCCTTACTGAAGCATCACACGAAAGAGGCAAACGTCCTTGCCAAGGCCTTGCAATGCAAGTTGTTGGATAAAGTCAAGGAGTTAGCTAGCGAGCAACTTTTGAGGGGATTTCATGAGACAGAAGTGTCAAGATTAAGGGACAAGGTTGATATTTTTACTATCGATATTGAGGCCATGCAGGCTACAACCAATGTGCAGACCGTGAAAATGGCCAGTGTGAGAGCCTAGAAACTACAACTAGTGTGGTTCCTCCTGAGAGGCTTCGTAGTTCTAGCGTCAACAAAACCCTTGAGAAGGTTGACGGCATGATAGTTTATTAAGTATCGTCCCTTAGCCTTTTGGATTAGTTGATCAGCTGATTAAGGTCTCTTTTTATGACTATCTTTTTTCTTTCTTTTTTGGCTTATGTTACATTGTATGTTGTGTATATGGGCCCTTGGTGGAAACTCTTTGATCTTAACTTCTCTCATTTCTAGATTTGGAACATATATGATTGGAATATTTTCCAAAAAAATTGGTCCAAGAGAGGTAGAAGATATGTGAATCTAGAAGTTTTCTTATGCTCGATAAATGGAGAGATTTCTCAAACTTTAAAGGAAATGTCAAATTTATAGGGAGAGAGCAACACAGGGATTGGATAGCATTTGAATCCCTATTTAATTTTGAGATAGATAAGTCAAATTTAGAGAGGGATTGGATAGCTATAGGATCTCCGTTTCATTTAGAAAAAGAGAGATGTCAAATTCTTTGTGGTAGGGAGTGGATCCATTTTTATCTCAGAGTTCTATAATTATTATTACTTGATATTTTACTTACTTTCTCTTAAATGCGCCTAATAAGGTACAGCTATCATTTCGTAAAGAGTTGTCCAAACATGTCCTCTTTCCTTCATAAGTAATCCATACATCTATTTCTTCCACTTTTCTCCTTAATCAGAGGAACAACTTCTGCAGCAATTGACCAACCACAAAAGTATCCCATGAGATTGTGCAAAACACCCATCCTTCCCAGTATGATCCAAAGGCCTCAAACCTATATCTATTCTTCGAAAAGCAACAGTTTTCATTGTTAGAACTCCCATACTTCCTCAACACCTTCACTTATGTATTTAAGAGATCTCCAAGCATCTGAAACACAATCATAGATCTGAGAACTCCAGCTCCACAAACATCTGAAATTTTTGTCAGCCACTTCCATTTGCCAACCTAAACTTCCATACCATCTAGACGGTATTCCCTCATAACCTCATCCAACCACAAGCTGACTTCTTCTGAAGTCAATTCTAAATGCATTTCAAAACAAAATTGTGTTAAAGCAGTTATTACTATTCTATATAAAGCCCTCGACTTTTGGGTTTTCATATTTCTGCTAAATAATTTTGTCCCTAATTACCTAAATTACCATAATAAGAATAAAGTCCCCCTTCTAATCTTTCAATTTTGTTACCAAATAGCAAGATAGCCTTAAGGATCTCATACAGGGGCATATGTTACACAAGGATGTTGACCAGTATGGATTTGATGTCGGTAACTTAGCACTAAGCAATAGCATTTGACTTATCCCCTCATTTATTTTGAAGTATCACACCCCATATATGAAATCTTAGGGTTTTGACAAACAGCACTAGACCAAAGTAAGGCATCAAAAGGTCCTCCACAATCACATATTTCCACTTTAACACTGACACCAACATTGAGGTTTCTTTTTTTTTTTTTTGGGTTGCAAATAACCTGCTAGTCAAACACTATTTCCAGACATCTCAATATGAGCTTCAAAGTAAAGTTCTACTCAATCAATTACACCACCTCACCCCTCAACCTCCAACAATAGATGGTTGTGTCAGCTCCAATCTAGAATTCATAGAAGTATTAGGACCGTCTTGCCCTGATGAGAAACCTCCAGTCTACCTCAAGGCCAAAACCTTTGTAGGCATTGACCATAACCATAAACAAAAAAGAGGATACCAGATCCCCTTGTCTGAGAAACCTCAACTTTAATCGTAACTAAGAAGGTAGTCATCAACAGTGTTTAAAAATTCATCAGCCCAATTTGTGACTCATCTGAGTTAAACAGGACAGGAGACTGGCGATTTGGGTGAAAAAAATTCCTGGAATTGCCCAAGTCTCCAGGTTTTTAGGCATTTTTCAAAATTTTCTTCTTAAAAAATTCCTAGTCCGACTCAAGACTCACCCGAGTGAGATTAGTGGACTCACGCTTCGACCCCTGGTAAGTCCAAGCCAGAATCCAACTTATTTAACACTGATCATCAAAATTGATGACCAGATCCACAATATGCGTCTCCCCAAAATCTATGTGCCTAAGTATAGGCACGAGGAATTTACAGTTCACAAATCGTGACCCAAGTATTCTGTAAACAAGTTCATATGCCATCCGTGCCTCCATCCCTTCTCTACTCTACTTACTCCCCCTGAACATTTGCTCCTGCCCCTCTTCTCTTCTTCTTTACCCATATGTGCTGTATCTCAACCAGTACTGTCTAAAAGCTTTCCAATTTAAGTATCGACTTCCTGACAGAGCTGATAGCTAATGTACGCCTTTTTGTACAACTACATGTTCAAATATACGATTGATACACAGACACGTAATTAACAGAAATCATGGGGATCCACCATCAACTGTTATGAGTAATTTAAGCAAGCTTTGTCTTATGAACTCAGTACCTTTATAGTCAAGTACAGAAAACTTTCATAGGAGCTAACCAATCCATATGACAAAATGCCTTGTGAAAGATTGAAACATCTTTCTTATGAAGAAGTTGAAACCCATACTTAGGAGGGGAAATATCTGACCAGAAAAACACCCAACCAATATTCCTAAGGATCTAAGGCATGGGCACACTTCCAATTGTTGTCTGCCGACAGACATGCACCTTAATGTGGAAATTAGCCCTTTGAAAACCATAAACATTATCAACCTAACATGTATAAAGTAGATATTCGTTGAAGTGATAAAAGCCCTCTAAAAAAACTCCCAAGAACAAAAATTGCTCATTGTACACAGTCTATATAATTGATCCTAAATTAAGAACTGATATTCCACAGAAAGAAATCAAGAGCAATGCTTTCAGCAGAAGTCCACAAATGCAAAGGTCCTCTTTTGTGAAAAGTACAACAAAAGAGGCAATGAAATAGAGATACAAAACATTTAAAATAAGCATCTTACCTCGCAAGGTCGTTTCTAGAAAACACATAGGCAGTGTTGCATGTTGGTGAAGCTGAAGATAACTTGTCAATACCTAAAAAGGAAAGAATACCAAAGAGTTACAAAAGAGACAAGAAAGCACAGCCATACAAATCAAGCATAATTAAGGCAATTAGTAGAACAAATACCATGGTTAGACACCAGATATTAAATAAACAAAACAATGCCAAGCAAACAATTTTCACCGTAAAATCTAAGTGAATACTAAAAACAGTATCACGCTTAGTTTGGGAGCACCAAAATAGATATTTACACATTAGGTTGCAATGCACTAAGTCCCATGCCCTGTTGCGCCATACAATGGATATGGAAAGAGTGGATCCCTTTCCAAATAGAATGCAAAATTTCGGTGTTTTGCATTGTTAGATCTAATGCATAAGGGATATGGCAAACCATAGCTATTGACCACCAACATAGACCTACACTGTACTGTAATGCATATGCTTTATCAAACAAAGCATAAATGCCGAAGTATAAGGTAGGAATTGACAGGTTTCAGTAAGTTTTTTAAGCATCACCTGAAAACGAATTTAATGACACAGTAAAAATCCAAGAAACAATGACCAAATCAGAATGCTTCAGACACAATTTCACCCCCATTATGTGCAATGAGAAGAGCTGACTAAGACAAATGTGGGCAAAATGCACATGGACTATTTGCGTATGATAAAAAAAAAGGTCTTGCAACACTCATCAATGCAAAACCACCATCTAAACCTTGAACTAATTAACCCAATAATGGGATAAAGTTAAATGAAAAGTAAAGCATGGATCTCAAGCAACCCCTTTTGGAACGTCTGCTTACACTTGACAATTGACTGCTATTTAGACAAGCAGCTCAAGGTCTGCAGAAAACAGTTTTAAAGGGGGAGAGGGTGGAAATATGTTCCTTTCATCTTTCTCTCCCCAACAGGGGTTGGAAATCCACCCCCTTCTCTCTCATCTTTCTCTCCCCAAAAGGGGTTGGAAATCCACCCTCTCTCTCTCTCTAGCAAGAGATCTCTCTGTTGCCCCAACCCCCCCCACCCACGTAGAGAGGAGGAGAGAGTGTCGTCGACGAGAGAGAGAGAGAGAGAGT